CACAGACCCCCTAGTGTTCTAAGGAACACTAGCAAAGTAAGCATAGCTCTGGGAGATGTGATTGCATTCTGCTAACTGAGCAGCTACCTTGAGCAAATTCCTTGGTTTTTGATCCTGTTTTCTCCTCAGTAAAGGCCTTTAGGCCTCTCCTAGCTCTGACATTCTTGAAGTCTATTTTCTTGTAGGAGTCCTCCTGGTGTGGCGCTGTGGGTTAATGTGCTAGATTGAGTCTCAGTGGGGTGGAACTGACTCTACCACACTTAACAACGTCAGCAAAGTTTTATACATTTGTGTCATTAGAGAGGAATGTCTCCTTCCAGATTGACTAAAGGCATCCCACAAAAACTATGTTGTCCACATGCCAGCACTAATGACAAATCTTAACCCAGTGTCTGGAGAGACAAGCTCCCTCCATTAAGCCTTTGGACAGTCTCAGCACCAATATGTCTACTAACCCTAAGCTGAGTCCTAGCTGTCTAGTTGTACTCATTCTTGGCATCTTTCCTATAAAAGGATGTGCTGGGCTAAGACAGGGATCCTGGTTTCAGTAGATCTTAGCCTTGTCCAAGAGATTCCCCAGCCTTGTGGAGAGATTGAGACAGACATGTTAGCAGCTGGACCATAGGTTTCTCATGGGACTAGACTTGTATCAGTTGGTGGCACAATAAGTTGGTGACTTAAAGTAAGCCTTTCTGGGCTTAGATCCTGGCTTCCTGGCTTTTCTGTGACCTTAGGGAAGTTTCCTAAATTCTCTACTTCTCAGTTTCTTCACATGGAAAATGAAAAATGATAATGAACTACCACTTAATAGGCTTTTGTGAGGATGCCCAAGCCAAAAAAGCAAACTTTCTGCCATGAAGTTGATGCTGACTCATAGTGACCCTATGTAGACTAGAAAGCTTTACAGAAGCAGACAGCCTCATCTTTCTCCAATGGAGTGGCTGGTAGCTTTAAATCACCAACCTTGTAGTTAGCAGCTCAACACCTAATTCACACAGTAAACGCTTGAAAGGATCCCTGGAATACTACAGCATTCACTAAATTTTGTTGTGGCACTGTAGGATAAGCACTGGACTGATAACCACAAAATCAGCAGATCAAATCCACCTACCATTCCTCGGAAACTATACAGTGTCTCTGTGAGTCAGAACTAACTCGATGGTACTTAACAACATCAATATGATTCCCAACTCGGGATAAGACCCCTCTTCACAAGAACAGCACAGACGTTAAAAGCTGCCTTTGAACATAGATGCCAGGATCCAAAACCAAGCTCAACACCCTGCAATTATATCAACTTGAACAAATTAGCAAGCCCCCTGTTGTTATAGAAGACTCCTGTATGTCAAATGAAATGGCACAAAAACTCTATAATAGCCCAGTGCCTCTGACAGCAAGAACATAATAAATATTGTTGCTAGATGCAGTCAGGACTCCTGGTGTGGTGCTTATTGTAGGATCAGCACAGGATTGTGAACGACAAGGTCAGCAATTCAAATCCACCAGCTCCTTCTTGGAAACCCTATACAGGATTGCTCTGAGTCAGAACCAATTTGATAGCACTTAGCAACAACATTGGACATATTGTCAGGAGGGAACAGTCGCTGGAAAAGGATATCATGCTGGGTAAGATGGAGGGTCAGAGAAAGAGAGGAAGACCCCCCAACGAGATGGATCAGCCAGGTGGCAACATTGATGGCATCAAGTGTGGCGGCGGTAGTGAGGTTGGCCCAGGATCGGACATTGTTTCATTCTGCTGTGCATGGGGTCGCTATGAGTTAGTTCCGACTCGATTGCACCTGACAACAACAACAACAACAACAAGATACATTCAAGTCAGTCCCAACTCATACTGACCCTATGTAACAGAACAAAACACTGCCTAGTCATGTTCCAAAGGAGCTCTGGTAGCAAAGTGGTTTTGAGTCAGGCTGCTAACCTCTAGGTCAGCAGTTCAAAAGTACCAGCCGTTCTGTGGAATGAGGCTTTCTGCTCCTGTGAAGATTTACAGCCTTGGAAACCCTATACAAGGTCGCTATGAGTCATAACCGATTCCATGGCACACCACCACCACCATCAGTCGTGTTGCATCCTTGCAGTCGTTGCTGTTTGAGCCCATTGTTGCTTCCTTTGTACCAATCCATCTCATTGCTTGATCTTCCTCTTTCTCTCTGACCCTCTACACCATAATACTTCTCCAGGGATTGGTGCCTCCTGATAACAAGTCCAAAGTATGTGAGAAAAAGTCTCACCATCCTCACTTCTATTTGTGTGTGTGTGTGTGTGTGTGTGTATGTATGTATGTATATATATATTTGTGTGTGTGTGTGTGTACCATGCCATTCTGCTTTTTCCAAATCTTCCATGACTTCCTATTCTTAGGATAAAATCTACACCTCTTAACATCACTATCAAAGCCCTCTGCTACCTAGACCCAAGCACTCACTGCCCTATTGTGCCAACAATGTCTGCCACCCAGAACTTACATATCTTGGCAGATTCCTACCTTATATCTATATTCTCCCTGACTTTAAATGTTTGGCCTAGCCCATTTATCTCTTGTGTGTCGCAGTCTGTTATTATAAAGATATCGCAGTCTGTTATTATAAAGAGAAACCCAAACCAAGCTAAACCCCTTACCATCAAGGTACTTCTAACTCATGGTGACCCTGTAGGACAGAGTAGAACTGCTCTGAGACTAATTCTTTATAGGAGCAGACAGCCACATCTTTCTCCCACAGAGTGGATGGTGGATTTGAACCAATGACACTGTGGATAGCAACCCGATGCTTAACCCACTGCACCACCTGGGAAACTCTGAGGGGCAGTTCCACTCTGTACTATGTTGTTGTTGTTGTTATGTGCCGTGGAGTTGGTTCCGACTCATAGTGACCCTGTACAGGGTTTCAAAGGCTGTAAATCTTTATGGGAGCAGAACGCCTCATCTTTCTCCCATGGAACAGCTGGTAGTTTTGAACTGCTGACCTTGAGGTTAGCAGCCCGATTAGTAACCACTATGCTACCAGAGCTCCTATACTATAGGATGCCTATAAGCTGGAATCCACTTGATGCCAATGGGTTTGGGTTTGTTTATAATCCTAAACTAGGATTTTGTAGGGCCAAATGTTTTTGTATATGTTTATTTCCCAAGTAGACCAGAATTACGGTATTCTCACAAACAAGGACTGTCTTAGACTTCTTTTTATCTTTCTCAATCTTACTACACAACACCATCCATTTTCTAGCTTAGAGCTTTGCATACAAAGAAATACAATAAATCTTTGTTGTAAGCTATTAGAAAGTGAGTACGGTTTAAATAGCATACTTATTTTTATGCAAAGAATGTTGTCAACCAGTAGTTTTAGTCACTACTTTATGCTAAGTATTAGTTCATACTTGGAATTTAGAGCAATAACTAAGGTCTAGAACAACCATCAACTAGAAATTTAAATCTACCTGGGAAACTTATATGTGATAAACACTAGCCCACTGGTAGCGTAGTGGTTACGAATCGGGCTGTGAACCTTAGGTCAGCAGTTCGAAACTACCAGCTGCTCTGCGGGAGAAAGATAAGGCGTTCTGCTCCCGTAAAGATTTACAGCCTCGGAAACCCTGTACAGGGTCGCTATGGGTCGGCACCGACTCGACGGCACTTAACAACAACAACTAATCACAAGATCTGAGGTTCAAAGCCCACAGCTGCTCCATGGTAGAAAAATGAGGCTGTCTGTTCCTGTAAAGATTTAAAGACTCAGAAATCCTATATAGGGTCTCTATGAGTCAGAATCAACTCAATGGCAGTGGATGGAAACTGAAAAAGAAAAGAAACTCAATGAAATGTGTAAATTATATGGTTCCAAGTACAGTGCAAGGAGTCTTGGCAGCATAGTGGATTATTAGCTGGGCTGCTAACCACAAGGTCAGTAGTTCAAATCCACCAGTCACTCTGCAGGAGAAAGATGAGGCTTTCTGCTCCCATAAAGATTCACAGTCTATGAAGGGTCGCTATGTGTGAGAACCAACTCAGTGCCACATAATCACCATCACCACAAATTACAACTCAGAATAAACTCAGGGAAGAGAAGGGTTAATAGGTATGGGGGTTGGGTGGAGGGAATGAGATGTTTGGCTTTATGAGCAGAGGTAGGGAATTAAATGATCACAGTTCTAAAGTTGCAATCCCACCTTTCAGAGGGAGGGGTAATTCCGAGATTTAGCTCATCAAATGACAATTTTTACTAGGAGACAAGAAGGTTTGCTTCTTGGGTTTGTTTTGTTTTGTTTTATAATATTTTATTGTGTTTTTGGTGAACATTTACACAGTAAACTAGGTTTCCTTTTGACAATTTCTATACATCTTGTTCAGTGGCATTAGCTACAGTTTTCACAATGTATCAACATTCTCATTATTTCCATTTTACTTGTTCCATTTCCATTTTTCTAGTTTTCCTGCACCCCCAACTTCCTTTACCTTGTTGTCTTTGCTTTTAGGGTAACTGTTGACTCTTCAGTTTCACATAGATGATTAAAATTAACAAACACACACACACTACATAGAGGTGATATTGTTTATTTCATGAGTTAATCTGTTATTGAACTGAAAGGTCCTTGGGAGTGGTTTAATTTCAAAATTTAAAGGATATCTCAGGGCAATAGTTTCAGGAGTTCCTCCCAACTGGTCTTGCAAGTCTGACCTCTTTTTAAGATTTTCAGTTTTGCTTTACATGTTTCTCTCCTATTCAGGACCATCTTTGTGTCCCAGTTAGTCAATAATGGTAGCAGGGCACCAGCTAGTTCTTTTGGGTCTCAGGGTAGATGAGACTATGGTTCATGTAGACATTGTCTCTTGTTTTTATCTCCCAATATTTTAGAGGCAAGTGTGTCTAGTAGTTCATAGTGTAATGCAGAGCTCCTCCTGTGTCTATCTCTGATAGACTGAGATCCTTGTTCACTTTATAACCTGGCGTCACCTTATATCTCTGCCTTTCTTTCATTAACAGATTGGTTACTGGAATGAAGATGATAAATTTGTCCCTGCAGCCACCGATGCTCAAGCAGGGGGTGATAATTCAAGTGTTCAGAATAGAACATACATCGTCACTACCATCCTAGTGAGTACTCAGTCCCTGTCTTACTTTGTACCCTTGGATTAGTCACTTACAATCTTTTGAGCCATCATTTCCCCATACAGAAAACAGCAGACACTAAATTATGGTGGATTTCATATTCCACCCTCCCTTAATAGAAGCCATTTTCAAAGGAAGTCTCCAAATTCCTGTAAATAAAGTGGGTCTAATGGAAGCTGCTAGAATTTTCAGTGACTGCTAATGAAAAACTCAGCACCTATTTGTAGTCATTTTCCCATCATAGTCCCTTAGTGGTACTAGCAGAATACAAAAGCTCCTGGAACAAAATTTGAAAAGCTATGAAGTAGGAGACATTCTTATTTTAAGACAATTTGCTTTCTTAACCCAAGCAGTTTGTAATGGGGGCTTGGGTATTAGAGGCAAAAATTCAACAGATAGATTTAGGGAACTATCTAAAGAGAGTTCCTCGATGTTAATGCTGTCACTATTCTCCTTTACTATGTCAAAGTCTTCCCTCCCCAATGAACTCCATAACCCACATCCTCCATCTTTCTATTTCTCTACCAGGAAGACCCTTATGTAATGCTCAAAAAGAATGCCAACCAGTTTGAGGGAAATGATCGCTACGAGGGCTACTGTGTGGAGCTGGCAGCAGAAATTGCCAAGCACGTGGGCTATTCCTACCGTCTGGAGATCGTCAGCGATGGAAAATATGGAGCTCGAGATCCTGACACCAAGGCTTGGAATGGCATGGTGGGAGAGCTGGTCTATGGAGTAAGTTCACTATGTTGTTGTTATGTGCCATCAAGTTGATTCCAACTCATAGCAATCCTGAATAGGGTTTCTAAGGAGTGGCTGATAATTTTGAACCGCCAATATTTTATTTTTTTAACTTTTTGTTGTGAATTGAGTGACAAGATCATCAGCTTTACCTTCAACAAATTATACTTTGTTTTACTTCAATGATTATAATCCTTTCCCT